ATTCACAGGGAAAGCTTCCTCAAGGGGCTGGTTATCACTCACACTCTGTACTCCTCTACGCAGCCTTTGGTCACTATCCTGGTCAATAGCACCTCCCCATGGATGAGAGAGGGAAGCAAGCAGACCAATCAAAATGACCAATGCTGGTAGTTTCAGCAAGTTTGAGGTATTCACAGTCAACAGTGAAATTAGAGCTACAATTTGGATATTCTGTACAGATGTAATTGGTATTATTTCTTTTTGTGTGGTTTTTTTCTTCTTTCTTTTTTGAGATGGAGTTTCGTTCTTGTTGCCCAGGCTGTAGTGCAATGGCACAATCTTGGCTCACTGCAACCTCTGCCTCCCAGGTTCAACTGATTCTCCTGCCTCAGCCTCCCAAGTAGCTGGGATTACAGGCGTGCACCACTACGCCTGGCTAATTTTATATTTTTAGTAGAGACGGGGTTTCTCCATGTTGGTCAGGCTAGTCTTGAACTCCTGACCTCAGGTGATCCACCCGTCTCGGCCTTCCAAAATGCTGGGATTACAGGCATGAACCGTCACACCCAGCCTTATTTCTAATTTTGTAATTTTATTAATGCATTGTTTTAAATGTTTAAAGAACAACAATGGTATAATAATAAATAATGTAGCTCTTTTGTACCTAGCTTCTACCATCAGTATGGTACAATTTCCTGTGACAACTTGAAAACAAAAGCAAAGTCTAGTCAGTAATAGCAATGCTGGCAGAAATCCCTTCACTTCCCACTCCCCATCCCTCGACCGGGGACTTCAATAATAACATTCTTTTTCAAAGAGTCTTAAAAGTTTTCCTCAATGCAGCTCTCCAAGCAACTTCTGTTTATAAATGCTAGCAGCAACCAAATTGTGTTGGCTAACCTGGGTTTCTTGGCCTTCTCTCCATGTATTTTATACTTTTTCTTCTTCTTGGGTGGCCCAGGAGAGGTGTAACAATAGGCTTCCTCAATTTCCTCCATCACGACAGTTACCTCAGTACCATCATATGATGCGTCCATGGCTAAAGGAAAGGAAAGTCAAAATAAAGTTTCCAGAATTTACCCTAAGAGGGCCAGCAGTTTCCTGATCAAATAACCCCTTACCTCTGCCAGTGCCTTAAGGCTTAGACATTTCCCAAATCCAATATATCCTAAGAGGCACCTGGGTTGGTTGGTTAACATACAGATTCCAGAGCTCCACTTCAGCCCTTCTGAATCAGAATCTCCCGAGGGTATGGAAATCCACATGCTTAACAAATGCCTCAGGTAGTTCCTTAGACTGGGCAAATTTGTGACCACTGACTTAGAAAGACTTTTCACTTATATTCACGGGATACAGTACCCACCCACCCCTTTACGCAAAGATTTATTAGCCCCAAATTATGACAATTCTATACAGAAATAGGTGAAAAGAATGCTTGACCAGAAATCAGAAGTTCTGGCCCATTCCTCGTATGTTTCATCAACTTAAGCAAATGCCTTCATTGATTCACTCAAACATGTAGTAAGGGTCTGTATATAAGAGATTTCTTTACACTCTGCCAGCTTGTGCAATTTGGGGCAGGTCTTTTAGCTGCTTTTTGTTCAGCTTTCTCCCTCTCATGTATAAAAAAAGAGATGTCTCACCTACCTTCTCACAGATTTATAGTGATAAGACTCAAAGGATACAACAGACACAACTCTGTTTAAAAATAATTGGCTGGGCGCAGTGGCTCACGTCTATAATCCCAGTACTTTGGGAGACTGAGATGGGAGGACTGTTTGAGGTCAGGAGTTTTGAGGCCAGCCTGGTCAATATAGTGAGACCCCATCTCTATTTAAAAAATAAAAATCTTTTTTAATTAAAAAAAAAAAGAAAATAGTCAAGTGCTATACAAATGAAAAGGGTTTTTTTTTTTGTTTTTTTTTTGGAGACAGGATCTCACTCTGTTGCTGGAGTACAGTGGCACACTCTGGGCTCACTACAGCCTCAACCTCCTGGGCTCAAGCAATCCTTCCACCTCAGCCTCCTGAGTAGCTGGGACTATAGGTGATGTCAGCACGCCCGGCTAATTTTTTGTATTTTTTGGAGAGATGGGGTTTTGCCATATTGGCCAGGCTGGTCTCAAAATCCTGGACTCAGGCGATCTGCCCACCTTGGCCTCTCAAACTGTTGGTATTACAGGAATGAGTAGGATTACACTGCGCCCAGCTGGGTTCATTCCTAAAGTTGAATAATTGGCAGGAAAAAAAAAATGAAAGAGTTAAGTTTTTTTTTTTTTAATTTTATATAATTTTAAAAATAATAATAGAGATGGGCTCTCGCTATGTTGTCCAGGCTGGTCTTGAACTCCTGGGCTCAAGCGATCCTCTTACCTCAGCCTCCCAAAATGCTGTAATTACAAGCATGAGCCACCATATCTGGCCTCTGTTAAAGACTATTATCTGTGTCTGAGATGCTTAACAACCTTCCCAAGGCCACTAAGCCCAAACAGGGACTTGAGAGATAGATTTTCAATTAAAAAATCCAACTCCCTGGGCCTTCTTTCGTTATGCTACACTGCTACCCATCTCTACTGGCAACCCTCCAAACCAGCACTGTTCAATAAACTCTGATGATGGAAATGTTCTACATCTGTGCTGTCAAACATAATAGCCACCAGCCACATATGGCTATCGAGCACTTGAAATATGGCCAGTGCGGGCTGGGCACAGTGGCTCACGCCTGTAATTCCAGCACTTTGGGAGGCCGAGGCAAGCAGATCACGAGGTCAGGAGATCGAGACTATCCTGGCTAACACGGTGAAACCCCGTCTCTACTAAAAATGCAAAAAATTAGCCGGGCGTGCTGGCGAGCGCCTGTAGTCCCAGCTACTCTGAAGGCTGAGGCAGGAGAATGGTGTGAATTGGAAGGCGGAGCTTGCAGTGAGCCGAGATTGTGCCACTGGACTCCAGCCTGGGCGACAGAGCAAGACTCCGTCTCAAAAGAAAAAAAAAAAAGAAACATGGCTAGTGTGACTGAAGAATTGAATTAGTTTTAATTTTAAATGTATTTATTTTTAAGACAGGGTCTCACTCTGTCCCCTGGGCTGGAGTGCAGTGATGCGATCTTGTCTCACTGCAGCCTCCACCTCCCAGGCTCAAGAGATCTTCCCACCTTGGCCTCCCAAGTAGCTGGGACTACACATGTGCACCACCACGTCTGGCAAATTTTCAAATGTTTGTAGAGATGAGATCTCACTATATTATCCAAGCTGCTCTCAAACTCCTAGGCTCAAGCAATCCTCCTGCCTTGGCCTCCCAAAGTGCTGGGATTACAGGCATGAGACACCATCACACCTGGCCAATTGTAATTAATTTAAATAGCAACATAAGCTAGGAGCTAGAGACAGCACAGATCTAAACAGTCATCTCACCAACCAATATCAGCTCTCTGGTGCTGGGCTAACAAACAGAGAATCTACTAACAGCTTTTATGTCTAGGAAAAGAGGCATAAAAAAACGTAATAACTACTTCAAGAAGAGTTAGCTTTTTTTGTAGCCAAGTTCTAAATTGGAGTTTTACCATAAGTCTCAATCCTTGGAGCGAGAAAGGCTCACAGAAACCACTTGAATTTTGCAAGAGGGAAATAACATAGTTTCCCCTGAAAATCTGTCAGGAGGAAATTTAGAATTATGTGAAGAGGCAGCTGTGGTGGTAAATATGGGACTGATATGTGCAGTACAAAGCCCACTCACCTCTCAATTAGACCTCACTCCACAAATAAGGCATAATGAGCACTGCATGTGGAGTCAAGAGACCTAAACTCTAACCTTAGGATCCCAGAGAAGTCTATTCCACAACCTAAATTTCAACTGTTTCTACTGTGAGAAGAGGATGAACCTAGTGGCTCCTAATCTTTTGGAGGCAAGAATTCTTTTCACAATGTTGCAAAAGCAAAACAAACAAACAAACAAAAAACTATCCTAGAAAATGCAGACACACTGTATTTCACCTATAGTTTTAAGGATATACCCCAGGTTAAGCACACATTTTTCTTAAGGTTCTTCCTGGTTCTCTGTCATCTCTAAATGATTCCTCTTCCCATTAAAAACAAAAACTAAACTAATAAAGAAAAACAAAAAAAAACACCCTACATTCTAACTGCCATAGTGCAACCCAGGAAGAGAACACAGTCTACAACTTGGCTGGGTAAACAATAGGCCAGTAAATGATAAGGGAAGCAGGAGTTCAAATCAAGGCTACATGGGGACTGCTCTTTTTTGCCCTTAACTGACTTCTGGGAGGTTGAAACCCTTGTGGAGCAGGGCAGTAACTGCAGGAGAGCATCTGTAATGAATGGCGTATAGGGTACTAAGCACTCTGAGCAAAACGGGTTAGGAAACAGTCATTACAACCACCTTGGGCTGAGGGCAGGAAGAGAACACCCTAGGGTTTTGTTTTACTACCCTCTTCTAAGCCTGGGTCCAAGTTTGTTATCAGACTGGAGGCCGCAGTATAGCAATGCAAAAAAAGGCAGGACAATACAAAGGTTAAAAACAAAAGGCTCTGGAGGAGAGAAAATCTGGGTTCTAGTGCAGGCTACACAGTCGCACCAGCACGCGGCCCTATGACCTTAAGTAGTCTACTTACCCTAAGTCTCCGTTATTTCATCTGTAAAATACAGTTAAGGTCAATATTTGAAATATGCGAGACACTTCCTCTGTACCATCACATCCTCCTTGGAATTTCACGAGATGGCCTTTGAGGGCTCAGCCATGGGCCACAGTTTGACTCTGGGCTAGCTTCTTTCCCTCATTCTGGGTCATGAATGAAGCAAGAGCCAAACCAGACAAAGTATTGGTCAAGATAAGACGTCTGGGACATCCGAATGTCCCATACGGATTGCGGAAGAAGGACACTAAGGCTCAGTGGCCCTACTTTGGGGAAGAGTCAGTCGAGGCTCAGAGAGCCGCAGCAGCCAACTCGAGGTCGCCCAGCGGCTCGGCGCGACCCTCGAAGGCGGGACTTACCCGGAGGAGCGTGCAAGCCGCGCCGCTCACATTCCCGGAGGCGCTCGGCCCGGGGGCTCGACGAGGGGGATGGCTGGCGCACTCGCGCTCCCCGCTGTCGGCGAGAGGCGGCTCCAGTCGTGACAGCAGCAACAAGGAAGTGGAGGCGAGGGCTCGCGCGCGCATCCCGGGGGCTGGAGGAGCCCCGGCCCCGCGGCCCCGCCCGGCGACACACGGCGCGGAGTCGCGACAGCCCCCCTCGCTTCCCCTCCTCGGAGTCGCGATATGGGGTCGTGAAGGGCAAGTGTAGGAGCACAGGTTCGCTCCGCAGGCTCCTCACCGATGCCTGCCGAGGGCCCCGGGGGTCAAGCCCCGGGGAGCTCGAGGAAGACAGCAGGTACACAGTCGTCACCGAGGCACCGGTTTGGCCGCTGAGCAGCAGCACACCACCGATCGCCAGGGAGACCCGTCCCGGCTGCCCTCGCGGCGCACCGGAAGCGGTCGGCGGCGCGTGACTGCGTGCGACCCCTCGCGCAAGCGCAACAGCCCAGCCGTAGCTTGGGGGCGGACCCATACGAAATACTCAAAGGCTTGGAGGGGGTCTATTAAGGCGAAGGGACTGCTTCCGGCCAGAGGTCACGGGCAGAGGAGGAAGCTGTGGTTGCCGGCGGTGGGGCGCCCCGGCCGCTCAGCCCCTGGGCACTGCTGTGGGGCGTTCAGGTAACAGGGGCGGGGCTGTGCTGAGCGTGAGGGATCTAGACCCCGCCTCACCTCTCAGAGCCACGTCGGGCGCTGGGAAGCCTACAATATCACCCTCTCCTCCGCACGACGTTCAAGGCCTGACTTCTGCCTGCCCCGTCTTTCCCTCTCATTCAAGATCGGGTTCATACGTAGTGCCGCATCAAGTAGCGCCTTCATCACTCCAGTGATCTGCCCTCAATCCGTCTCTCCCACTGGCCCACGAATAGTGGTGGTAGTGAGTTCCTGGAGTGACTTATGCTGAGCTCAATGACCGTGTGGAGAGCCTCCGTAAATCAAATAGTGATTGGATTGTCCTTTCTCTCCAGTGTCACAGGTTATCCACATTTGTACGAGTGCCCGCACAACGCTCACTGTATTGCAAATGTGTTTCCAATCTGTCTACTTCTCTCCATCTACCGCCGTCACCAACCTTCTAGCCACCATCATCTCCTGCCTGGACTGATGTGGTTCTCCCCACATCCCCCCACAGTCTGTTCTCCACGAAGCAGTCAGATTGATCATTTTGCCCTGTCTGATCAAGTCACTCCCTGCTTAAAACCCTCCAGTGTCTCATTCACTTAAAATAAAATTCAGACGACTTAGCTTGACCAAGACTTTGATTTGGCTCTCGCTTTATTCTCTTTCTATGTCTCCTCTCAATATTAGTAGTTCCCAGAACCAGCTATATAGCACTCTGTAGTGTTTGGAGTGCTAGCTTTGTTGTGAGCCTCCCTGGGTTTGAATCCCAGCTCTGCCACAGGTAAGCAATATTAACCATGTAAAGTGCTTAACAAATTACGTTTACGCAGTAGATCCTCCCACCTCAGTAAATGGCACCCGCTGGATTGCTCAGTGCTCAAACCAGAAACCTGGGCGTTATCCTTGACTCCTCCTTCACCTCACATCCGGTCCATGACAGGGCTTGCAAAAACATAGCCCCAAACTGACTACTACTCACCATCTCGCTATTACTACTCTTATCCAAGCCACCATTATCTAGTGTGGACTCCTGCTTTTTTTCTCTGATACCCTTCTATTCTTTACATGGCAGCTATCTCTCCTCTCTTAAAATCCTTCAGTAGCTTCCTATTGCACTCAAATTAACATCCAAACTATATATGGCCTACTGGGCTAGCCTGCTTTTATATTCAGATTTAGGGCCATCTCTTAGGAAAATCAACTTTACCCATTAGGTTCCCTACCCTGCAACCAAAAGACTGAATTGTAAATCTGATCATGTCATTCCAAAAAAAACAAAACCAAAAAACCGTCAAAAGTCTCTTAATGCCCCAAACGCAAGCTAGAATCCTAACTAGGACTTCCTGTGATTTGGTCCTTGCTTTCTTCTCCAAGGACTTCTTTGTTCCTGACAAGGACATTCTATTTTCTATAGCATTTCATCGCCTTTCATATTAAATATTTCCTTTCATCTCATGAGTTCCTATTTGTTTATTCTTTAAGGCCCACCATATTGTTCCCTCTTTGAAGTGCACTGCCATCCATGCCCCGCTCCAGTTGATTATCTGCACTTTTATGTTCCAGTAGTATTCTGTAACCTCTGCTATAGTTTTCACATGCTCTAGTGTTTGTCTTCCCTGGTAGGCTCCTCAAAGGTGGGCACTATGCTCCATTCATCTCTGTATGGGTGGCATCAAGCATACTGCTTAATACATAGTACATGTCACGAATGGATGGATATGGAGGTGATAGTAAAAATCTACCCTTGAGAAGGGACAATCATAGCGTAAAGTCACAGCAGTTTCTCTTGTCCTTTGAGGATTCTCATGATAAAATGCCTACGAAGGCAATTACCCAAAATTGCTACTGCTGGATCATGTTTTGTTGGACCAGCCTGGGGCAGGGGGACTGTTAGTTTTAAATTCTGAATACTTCTAGACAGGATACACCACAACATTCTCCAAATACTTCAATCCCTGTTTCACTCACTTACACCACCATCCTGGCCCCTAAAGGCATTTGAGTTTGGAGTACCTATCTAGGGTCCAAGACTTACATCTGGAAGGACCTTAGGCATCATCTGGTCTTGTGGTTTGCAACCATGGGACTTTTCAAAAATATATTTAAAAAAGGAAAAAAAGAAAACAGGCCCAGAGAAGTACTATAACCTGCCCATCACTTCTGCCATAATCTGTCACTTAATTGGTCTCTTTGCCTCTTTGATCCATTTTCCACAAAACAGCCAAAGTGATCCTTCTAAAATGCCTGAAAACGTCAGCGGATCTCTGTTGCACTCAAAATACCAACTCTTTACCATGACATCTTTTTTTGTTTGTCTGAGACGGAGGCTCGCTCTTGCCAGGCTGGAGTGCAGTGGTGCGATCTTGGCCCACTGCAACCTCTGTCTCCTGGGTTCAAGCGATTCTTGTGCCTCTAACTCCTGAGTAGCTGGGATTACAGGCACGCACCACCACACCCAGCTAATTTTGTAGTTTTAGTAGAGATAGGGTTTCATCATGTTGGCTAGGATGGTTTCGATCTCCTGACCTCATGATCTACCCACCTCAGCCTCCCAAAGTGCTGGGATTACAGGTGTGAGCTACCGCACCCAGCCTACCATGGCATCTTTGAATGGTCTGGCCACCCACCTTTGTCATATACTTGGAGTCATGCAAATATTTCAGTTCCCTGAATACCTCAAGCTATTTTTGGTGGTTTTTTTTTTTTTGAAACGGAGTCTTGCTCTTGTTGCCCAGGCTGGAGTGCAATGGCACGATCTCAGCTCACTGCAATCTCCGCCTCCTGGGTTCAAGTGATTCTCCTGCCTTAGCCTCCTGAGTAGCTGGGATTACAGGCACCCACCACCACGCCAGGCTAATTTTTGTATTTTTAGTAGAGTTGGGGTTCTGCCATGTTGGCCAGGCTGGTCTCAAACTCCTGACCTCAAGTGATCCGCCCACCTCGGCCTCCCAAAATGCTGGGATTACAGTCATGAGCCACCGCGCCCGGCCTATTTTTGCTTTTGAGGTTTTGGTGATGCTATGTCTTTTGCTGGACAGCCGTTTCCCCATATTCTTGAAGATCTCAGCTTCAGTGCCATCTTAGTGAGGACACCCCTGACCACCCTTTGTATAGTAAGTAGATCTTCCTCTTTTATTCCTTGTCATAGTCTTTATTTCCTTTATAGCACATATCACCCTCTGTAATTATCTTGTTTACTTATGTATCTTTCGCACCACATTTTATATTTCATAAGAACAGAGACCTTGACTCTTTTGTTCATTACTGTACCCTTAAAGCTTGGCACCTATAAATATAAAATGAATGTATGGCTACCAGAAACATCTTCCCACAGTAAAAATCTTTCCAGGCAAGATGGTGGTAGAGCTTTGAAGATCTCATTTTGGTGGAATTTCAAGTAGGACCATGGCCTGGCAGAAATAGTAATCTGAGTTAAGAAATCTAAGCTGCATGAACCTGGGTAGGCCCCTTCCCAGGGCCCCAGTTTCTGTGTCCATCAAAGAAACTGGATAATAACTCGGAATGTATACAGCACAGTGCTATATGCAAAGTTCTTTCCCTGACTATTTCAATCTGTTCTCATGGTAGGCAGAGCAAACATTGTTATTCCCATTTTTATGGGCTTCAGAAAGTTTAAGTAAACTATATAATAAGATCCCTTCTGTTTCAAACATTCTGTGAGTCTTTATAAGTAGCCTCTACAAAAAGTCAGTAGCATGAATCCTATCTTCTCTTTACTTTGACCATAAATTGTCGTTTCCTAATACGATTTGTGAAAACCTGAACCATCTTTTAGGGGAAATCCATTATCTTTGTTTCCTGATAGGTACTCCATTTTGTCTTCTCAGTTTGCCACACTTGTGGCAAAGCAAGCTGCGAGGAGGAACCAGACAGCCCTGTTAGTCATGGCCAGCCCTCACTCCCTGGAAATGGCAAACAAGGGGAACAAGAAGCGTCGGCAGTTCTCTCTGGAAGAGAAAATGAAAGTTGTGGAAGCTGTAGACTCAGGCAAGAGGAAAGGTGACGTGGCAAAAGAATTTGGTATCACTCCCTCTACTTTATCTACATTCTTAAAGGATCGCACCAAATTTGAAAAAAAGGTACGGGAGGCATCCGTGGGACCCCAGCGGAAAAGGATGAGGAGCGCTCTTTATGATGACATTGATAAGGCTGTTTTTGCTTGGTTTCAAGAAATCCATGCCAAAAACATTCTTGTGACTGGTTCTGTCATTCGGAAAAAAGCACTAAACTTGGCCAACATGCTTGGCTATGACAATTTTCAAGCAAGTGTGGGCTGGCTGAACAGATTTAGAGATCGCCACGGAATTGCTTTGAAAGCAGTTTGTAGAGAAGATACTGACAGATTAATGAATGGTCTAGGAATAGATAAGGTTAATGAGTGGCATGCAGGGGAAATTATAAAACTGATTGCTGACTACAGCCCAGATGATATCTTTAATGCTGATGAGACAGGAGTGTTTTTCCAGTTGCTTCCCCAGCATACACTTGCTGCTAAAGGAGACCATTGTAGAGGGGGCAAGAAAGCAAAGCAGCGGTTGACAGCACTCTTTTGTTGCAATGCCTCGGGGACTGAAAAAATGAGACCATTGATCGTTGGTAGGTCAGCCAGCCCACGCTGCCTCAGGAACATCCATTCCCTCCCTTGTGATTACCGAGCCAACCAGTGGGCTTGGATGACAAGGGATCTGTTTAATGAGTGGCTGATGCAAGTGGATGCCAGGATGAAGAGGGCGGAACGCCGGATCCTCTTGCTGATCGACAACTGCTCTGCTCATAACATGCTTCCACGCTTGGAAAGGATTCAGGTTGGGTATCTGCCCTCCAACTGTACTGCTGTCCTGCAGCCACTGAATCTTGGCATAATTCACACCATGAAAGTACTATACCGGAGCCACCTTCTAAAACAGATCCTCCTCAAGCTCAGCAGCAGGGAGGATCAAGAAGAGGTGGACATCAAGCAGGCCATCGACATGATTGCTGCAGCATGGTGGTCAGTCAAGCCATCCACAGTGGTCAAATGTTGGCAGAAGGCAGGCATCATCCCTATGGAATTTGCAGAATGTGACATAGAATCAGCAGCCAGTGAACCAGACACTGCCATTGAAAAGTTGTGGCACACAGTGGCTATTGCCACCTGTGTCCCAAATGAAGTAAATTTCCACGACTTTGTTACTGCAGATGATGATCTCATCATCTCTCAGGACACAGACATCATCCAGGGCATGGTGGCTGGCGAAAATACCAGTGAAGCAGGAAGTGAAGATGAAGGGGAGGTATCTTTACCAGAGCAACCAAAAGTCACCGTCACAGAAGCCATATCAAGTGTACAGAAACTTAGACAGTTCCTTTCCACTTGTGTAGATGTTCCTGATGCCATTTTTGGACAATTAAATGGCATAGATGAATATTTAATGAAAAGAGTGACACAAACCCTTGTTGATTCCAAAATTACAGATTTCCTCCAAACAAAGTAATGCAGGAATTTATTTCAGAAAATGTAGTTTACAAGAATAAAGATTTCTTCAGATAGGCTGTTGAGCCAATTTAAGTAAAGCAATATTGTTATGACAACATTCCAGTACTCTGAAATAGCCAGGAAACTTCCTTGAATGGAATTTAACTAATACGTGTGTTGTCTTGTCTTGTCTTTTCTTTTTGGCTATCTCTGGTCCTTGATTCAAGATGTATTTTGATTTATCCAAGGGTTTCCAAACTTGTCTGCACATTAGGATCACTTGAGAATCCTTTAAAAATTCCAAAGCTCAGGCCATATCCCAGGCCTATTCAATCACAACCTTTGGTGATGGGTCACAGGCATTGGAAGTTTTGAAGCTCTCCAGGTGATTCCAATGTGCAGACAAGTTTGGAAACTGAACCAACCACAGGAACATCAAGTACACTATGGGCCTGGGTCCAGCTTCTTTCCAGTAAGTCTATCTCAGGGGCTTCCAAATCTAGCTCACATCAGAATCACTTGGAAGGCTTGTTAAAACCCAAGGCTGCTAGGCCCACCCCCAGAGTTTGATACAGTAGACCTCAGGTGGGACCCAGAAATGTGCATTTCTAACATACTCTCAGCTGATGCAGTCCAGGCTCCATGCTTTGAAAACCACTAGTCTAGCTTTAGATAGGATATTGAGCCAATTTAAATAAAGCAATATACTGGTCTAGCTGAGTTCTAGAACTTCTCACTTTAGCTGGCCATCTCAATACTCGCCCGTCACTAATTGTTAAAAAAAAAAACAACAAAAAACTGTTCTTACTCTAGAGCTCTTTCTCCTTTCCGTTGATTTGCTGGAAGCACTATAAGACTTTGTTTTTAAAGATGGGGTCTTGTTATATTGCATCCCAGGCAGGAATGCCGTGGCTATTCACAGGCATGATTATAACACATGTCTCTAACTCCTGGCCTCAAGCCATCCTCCCAAATAGATGGGACTACTGATGCATACTGCCACGCTGGCCTTAGAAAATGTTTTAATAGGCATTTCACTAATAGGGAGCTGGAGTACAAGGAAATACAGTGCATTTAAGACATAGGCTTGGCATGGTGGCTCATGCCTGTAATCCCAGCACTTTGGGAGGATCACTTGAGGCAAGGAGTTTGAGACCAGTTTGGCCAACACAGCGAGACCCCATCTCTAAAAAAAAAATTTAATAAGACATGGATACAAGCAGGGAGGGAGGTTATAATAATAGAGCATCCCGTTAATCAGAATCATGGGGGAGAACGTACAGCCCAGCATGACTCTCACTTTCCAGAAAGGGTGAGAGGAAGGTTCATTAGAGAGTTCATTAGACAGTGTATTTATTCCTAATAAGATAAATGTCAGTTTCATTTTCAGAAGTTTCACACAATACCTGCTAATGGTGTGGTGTCATTTTTCCCCCACGCTTCAGGTTAATTTTTCTGGATATTTCAGAAACCCATAGCAATTCAGTGATTTTTCTTTCTGTAATAGCTTAGTCAAAACAGATACAGCAGATAAATCATAGAAAATATTGCTTCCACATTAACAAAACAACAATCACTGAAAAACGGCAGATGTTTAAATAGATTCTTTGACCGCTTATTTTGGATATTTTTCTTTTAACAGACTAATACGATCATTTGAATTAAAAGTACTGTACATATTTTAAATTCTTAACATGTGAGAGAGGAAAACTCTTCTGGCTAAGCCCTGTGGTTATATTTCTTTGTCAGCTCCTTAATTGCTGTCATCATCCTCTGGTGTCAGGATTACTGCCATGGTATCTAATTCCTTCCCTCACCGTTCTCCCGCAGTGCATTCTGCACATATTGTTTGATCTGTTGGCACCACACCATTTCCCCTGCCCAAGTGTCTGTAGTGGCTTTCAAATGCCTACAAAAAAACTATTTAGCTGAGTTTTAGTATCCTCTATAGTTGACTACAACCTGCATTTCCAACTTGTTAGCTCGATACAATTCCGTGTACATTAATGCTCCCTGAAGAGGTCACTGTTTTCTCTCACTGCGTACTGACTTCTGCCTGTGTGCCTTGCCCAAATGACTCACCCTGTTCTCTACTAAACTAGGCCTTACACATTCAAGAACTAACTGGAATCCTCTTTCTTCCAGGCTTTCTTGGAGACTCCAGCAACTACTCCACCTGTTTTCCCCTCATCTCTGAACTTCTTGTCTCTACCACTCAAACACTTAGATGTTTTCTAGATGATCTCTGGCTCTTTAGACTGCAAGGTCCATGACAGCAGGGGTCAGTCAACCTTTATAATCTTAATGGTGCCTAGGACTGTGCTGGACACATGATAGGCACTTCAATAAACATTTGTGTATAAATTGATAGACACATATAATGTGTTGAAGCTATCTTATTTTTAAAGCTGTATTAAGCGTTGATTCTACTAGAAATGGCTTGGAGATAAGGTAGGGTTTTACTCCATTTAAAAGGGCTTGCAAAATTTTTCCATGGAAATAGTTGCCTCAAATATAATTCCAATCCAGGTTATAATCTGTTCTTTGATAATGAATTATATAGAATATAATTTGATAAGTATACAGAATATATACCATTTATAGTTGAACCCATGTCCCTCCACCAGAAAGTCATTCCAGGGTTTCTTTTGGCTTCCATTTATACACACAGGACTTTAGTATGAAAGGGCTTGTCTAAGTCCTTTGCATACAGTAGATGTTCAGTAAATATGTGCTTAAACTTGCTTTTTTAAAAAAACAAATTTAACATCCCTGGTCAGGTGTGGTGGCTCACACATCCCAGCACTTTGGGAAGTCGAGGGGGGCGAATCACCTGAGGTCAGGAGTTTGAGACTAGCCTGGCCAACATGGTGAAACCTTGTCTCTTCTAAAAATACAAAAATTAGCTGGGCATGGTGGTGGGTGCCTGTAATACCAGCTACTTGGTAGAGTGAGGCAGGAGAATCACTTGAATCCAAGAGGCAGAGGTTGCCACTGCACTCTAGCCTGGGCAACAGAATGAAACTCCATCTAAAATACTACTACTAATAATAAAAACAAATTTAACATTCTTGATTCACTTAATATGTCATGATTTAGATCCTGGAAGATGGAAATCATCCAAAAAAGAAAATTTTTGCAGTCCAGTTTACAATGGCTAAAACTTTGATTCTATTGGACATCAGGGTTTTTTGGTATTTTATTAAGCTAAAAGAGGTTGATATTACTCCTCATCAGGCGTTCTATGGCTTCTCTGTACCTCTTTGGTCACTCCAACGTCACTTGAGTGGCAACTCCACTTCTGCTCCAGTTGACTAATCCTCTCTGCAGGCCAGCATACTAGGCCTAGGCACCTACCTCAATTGTGTTGTCATGAGGATAAAAAGGTGTACCTGGTACAGACTAAGTATTCTATAAATGCACTCTACTGTCATTCTATCCCTATTTGGAATGAAATGAGTACCATCTAGAATCAGGGACCTGCTTTATCAGCCCTTTCTTCCACTAACAGGTCTTGGGGTTCAGTGTTTGAGAACCACCGGCCTAATCAATAGATGATAATTCAAGGAGTTTTCTGTGCCATTACTCATAAGGGCCTGATTCAAAAGCAAGTAAGCTAAGATTTATTGTCTATTATATTTCAAGCACTATTTACTTATTATTTAATATTTTTAGTAAATCATAATACAAAACCACAATAGACTCAGATAATTTAATTCCAAGGTTGTAGACCTATTAAACTGCTGTTCATGCTACCTGAAGCCAGACTTACCTTTAAAGTGGAATGTGGTAGCATATGGTGGCCACCAGAGGGCACAGGTGGACTACATAGGGAGACAGTGTCACCTGAAGAAACCTTTGGAGCTGCCACTTGTAATTTCTCTGATGTGGTACAGATTGAGAGGGAAGGCAACAAAGAAAGAAGGAAGACACATAGGATGTTGGACTTGTTCAAACAATTTACCTAGAAGTAACTGCCTGGGACCACCTAATCCCCTCCATTACATACTATCTCTTCTCTAGAGACTTTTTCCAACCTATTAATAACCATAGGCCAGGCTGAGCATAGTGGCTCATGTCCGTAATCCCAGCACTTTGGGTGGCTGAGGCAGGAGGATTGCTTGAGCCCAGGAGTTTGAGAGCAGCCTAGGCAACATAGCAAGACCCTGTTTCTACAAAAATGAAATTAGTCAGATGTGGTGGCTCATGCTTGTAATCCCAGCTACTCAGGAGACTGAGGCGGGAGAATTACTTGAGCCTAGGAGTTTGAGGCTGCAGTGAGCCATGATCACACCACTGCACTCCAGCCTGGGTGAAAGAGCAAGACCCTGTCTCAAAAAATGGTGAAAACCCCAAAAATGAAAAACCATAGGCTATGTACCTGATCGTGGATAGACACTCAAGCTCTGGAAATGAGCCAGTATTAGGGAAATAATTACCCAAGAAATATATCCATGTTTGCAGTAATAACTTATTTAACCTTATAAACCCACTGCAGGTCATAGGAGCTCTAAGGATGAAGTACAAGGCCCTACTCTCAAGAAGCTTAGTAGAGGAGATAGATGGGGCGTGGGGGAATGAGTGGTAAATGTCATTTTAGAGAATATGCAAATAATATAGTTTACGCTTTATGAGTGGTAAATGTCATTTTAGAGGATATGCAAAGATATACAGGAATATAGAGGGGGACCCTAAAGAAGCCCCTGAATAAGAGAAGACGAATCCAGTAGGAAATGTTGCCAAGGAAAAGGGACATTTGATAAGTATCTGGAAAGAAAAGTAGGGAGTTAGGGAGATGGGGCTGGGAGGCAACTCCTGGCAGAATAGCATATACAAAGGCCTGGGGTATTTTTTTTTTAAATGGCCCATTTGGGAGCACCTAAGGTTGGTGGGTGGTATGGCAAGCAAAGGATGTGTGGTAGAACGAAAGGCTGGAGATGTAAGGGCAGAGTTTTTTAAGTCTTGTGGGTTAGACCATTTATTTTGAACTTATCCTAAAGACACTGGAGACCCCTTCTACTTGCCCTGACAAGTAGCAATGGTCAGGGCTGAAATAATTTTTTTTTTTTTTTTACTGAAATAATTGATAACTAGTATGGAGGCTGGATTGTAGAAAAG